GTGCGGATTATAGGAGCAGCCGTAGCCCCGAGGCGTGACCGGGCCATAGCCCATGAAGCTGTCCGTGGTGAAGGCGACCTGCGTATAGAAGAGCCAAACAGCACGAAGATCACTCAAGATCAGATCAGAGGGCACTCAGATGGCTGGGCAGCTTACAGCTAAGTGGCTTACGTGTGTGCAGCTGTAGGTGCTGGTGCTGGTGCTGTTCTTGGTGGTGCAAAAGCTAAGCATTAAGACAAATGTGGTGCAGAGACAATAGAATGAATGAAAAGGTGCTCGGTGCGTGGTGGCAGACAATGAGAGAGACAGTGAGACAGCGTGGATACCTGGCTGGTGGAGAGCAGAAAGCATTGCGATATCTTGTAGGACTCATCCGTGAAGAGCTCGTGCAGCTCCCCAGTGACCTCCACCGAAGCCTCGCGCAGCCCCAGCAGTGGTATGTCGATGCCATGGCCAAGGATGTTCTTTACCATCACCTCCGTCTGCCGGGCGACGGCGCAGCGGAAAAGCTCACGCAGATGATCCTTCTGTGAAAGCAGAGCGGTTACCCACACGGAACTGGGCAAAGGCTTATGGGCTGGTAGTACTCACGCTATAAATGCTAAATTTGACTTTCCGGGCATCCTCCTCGTCCTCCTCGCGGTCGCTCTCCAGTGGAACGTTGGCACCCTCGCCCTGACACATCGCCTTGGCCCACTCCAGCGCCTCCGTGCTGGCAGCACGTATGCAATCCACACGACCCTGTCGAATCAAGGGGGGTTACAAATGGATAGATCATAGAGCGATCGATCCATCGATCGACAGCTGAACACTTACGAGCAGGAAGCGCCTGGTGGAAGCACTCTCATAGGTGGCCACCAAATGGCCGTAAAGTCTGAAAGGCAATAATAGTGTTGAGAATTATTCTATATTCCTTATATTAGCGGAAGGGATCTCGAAGGATCGACGGTAGCTCAGATAGCGATAGGTTCAGCTAGGCGCTGAGTTAGCCTAGACTTGAAATCGTAGACTCGGCTTGTTTTGCCCTAGCTTGCGGTACTCACTTGAAGTAGGCGAGCTGGAGGGCCAGCTGTATGTAGACGTCCGGGCTGACCTGGCAGGACTTGACAAAGTTCTTGCCGTAGCCCTTGTAGCGGTAGACATAGAAATCCAGATTGTCAATGGCCCTGTCCACCGACTTGGCAGCCTGGACGAAGCGTTGCTGCAGCTTGTCGTTCACATGCCACTCGAGGCGCTCGGGAGGCGGCAAGTGATGCTGGGGCACGCCGTTGTCTTCCTGCGGATGCTCTTCAATCTTCTTGTACACCTTCTCCAGCAGCTGGACGACAGCAATGCCCTCGGAGGTCGAGTGCTCGTAGCAGAGGCCCCAGCTGCCATCGGTGCAGATGATGAGCTGATTGGTAATGAGAAAAAGGTTAGCTGAAGGTAAGGCAGGCGGGTGGAGGGGGGGTCACCTGCATGGTCTTGTCGAACCAGCGATTGGCCGAGTTGAATTCGCTGCCTCCGCCGTGGAGCATTTCGTGGGCCATGTTCGTCTCATCCCGATCGCCGGCGGTGTGGACGCTGGGCGTGGCACCGCTGAAGCCACGTGCATTGAAATTGGTGTTCAACGGCTCGTCCAAGCATAGCACCACCAGCGCCGTTTCGATCAGCTCCAGGTTCCGCTGGTTGCGCTCATCCGTCTGCAGGGCCTCACGGTCCACAGCCCACTGGGAACGCGGCTCGGCTGTCAACAGGCCGACGGGCAACGGCTTGCCCGGCAGGCAGGGCGCGTCGCTGAGCACGTAGAGTATCTGGGAGGCGATCTCGCTCTCGGTGAGCTTGCCGCGATCGCTGGCCTGCAGCACCACGCAGTACATCTGATTGCGACAGATGACCACCACGTGGCGGTCCTCGTCGCTGTCGATGGGCTTCTGCCGGCTCGGCAAGTACTGCGAGTCCCGCTCCACGCCCGGACGACGGCAGGAGCCCAGCAGGCGGTAGTACTGGGCCATGCAGAGCGGCTGGTTCTTCTCCCTGGAGGCAGCCCTCTCCTGCGGCAGCTGTCCACTCTCCAGCATCTCCTTGTGCTCGACCAGGCCGTCCAGCAGCCGCGCCGCAAAGTGGGCCACGTCGTGGACGGTCCTGAAGTGGCGCGGCGGAAAAACGGTGCCAGGATTCGAGTTGATCGGCAAGGGCAAGCGCACATTCATGTACATGTCGTTGAGCCAGTAGTAGTAGGCCTGTCGGAGCGTGGCGTGGAGTGGAGCGGAGTACATGGAAAGCGCATTATTAACACACGAGATACAAACTTAATTAGCGGGAAAAACAACATCGGGGTTGGGCACTTCGTTGCTTGGCTGCTTGGCTGCTTGGCTGTTTGGGTGCGTGGGTGCGCCTCTTATCGAGGCCAGTGCGAAGGGTACACTGATAAGGCAGAACAGAGATCACATTTGGGAGATCGCAGATCTGCGATAAGATGCACTATATAAAATGCCTAAGGCAACTAGACAACATCAGTACAGCAGTTTCATCTAAACCTGACGGATACCCAGCGACAACCCACAACCCCAACAAGATGAAAGGTGAGCAACAGCTTGGTCATCAATCACACAATCATTCAATCAATCACCAATCTTCCGCTCAATCTCGATTGCAGTGTTCGCTCTTACTTTGCTCAGCCTGGCGGCTTTGTCGCAGGCGCGCCTCGACTACAAGCTGCAGTGCACCCGCGAGGAGGTGGGCATACGCTGGCCGAGCTACTTCAGCAACTCCGAGTACTACGTCTGCCAGAGCATCTATGGCAACCAGCTGACCGTGCACTGTCCGCCCGGTGAGGTCTTCACCTTCGTGCTGCAGCAGTGCGCCTCGCCGGCTTTGTATGTGCCAGCGCCACCCATGGATGTGCTGCCCACCGATGCGCCCATTACCACGCACGTCGTCAACGAGGCGCCACCAATGATGACTCCCAATGGACCCGTCCACATGCTCGGCCAGGAGCACGAGTTCGAGCCAGAGCATATGCAGGTCATTCACGCTTCGCCACTCGATCCCACACCTCCCACCCCACCCACCGAGCCACCAACTCCACCCACCGTTGTGCTCGATGCCCCCAAGCCTGGCAAGAAGCCCACCGCCCCACAGCCCCACAAGAAGACTAGCTCAGCCCCAACACCCGCCAAGGCCGCCGCGGCCAAGAAGCCCGCTGCTCCATCTCCGCCCAAGGCTGGCAAGAAACCAACGCCGCCCAGCAAGTCCCAGAAGAAGCCATCGACCAAGCCCTCAGCCTAACTCGTCGCTCCACCCCCCTCCCCGGAGTCAGTCGTCTACTAAATTAATGTTCAGCAAGCGGAATTTCATTCAGAACTCTAAAATAACAACTAAATAAATATCTAACTGCACAAATAACTCTTCTACTCTATGGCTATGGGGCCCATCCACTCACACACACACACACACACTCACGGACACACACACACATACTTGAGAGACAGGTGAGTCTCTGAATGAATCAATTAGCTAATTGACCTTGTCGGAACATATCGATGACAGTTAACACTTTTAATTGATTAATAATTGTAAATGGAACATGCCAAGAATTCAGCGTCAAAATGTTCACCACTTCATGCATGCTCGACTGGCAGATACTTCGCACGTATGCCATCTAGCTAATTACATATAATTAATTACATACCTATATGACGACTGATGGCATTCCTTCAGATGTGAAGAAATGTATGCAAATCTTTGCTAGTGAGGCATGCTCGACTGGCAGATACCTCGCAAGTGTGGAGATAGAAGATGTAATCTTATGACGACTGATGACATTCCTTCAGATTTGAAAGAAGAATAACAACATTCAAGTGTTCAAATCTTAACTAGTGAGGCATGCTCGACTAGCATAGATACCTTTCTGATAATGAACATTTCTACTGTAAAACAGATACATAGGAGGACCGAAGAGAACTAGACTATTTGGTATGCACTGTTGTTCTATTACATTTGAAGGAAAAAGAGAGAAATTCTCCTGGTAAAGCCTTTAATAGTAGTCTATTTTAGACTAGCAGATACCTCTTCCATTTTTGGGAAGTATGCACACTAGCAGCTACCACTTAAGTTAGCCAATTAGTAATAAATCGTTATATAGGAATGTTGATTGATTGGCAGCTACCCTGTTCCAGCTTATAAGTACTATACTATAAAAAGATTTTCATACTGCAATATATCAAAATGTCGGACACTTCAAAATATCAATTGCAAATCATATTTAACAGCTATAGCATATAGGCCAATATTAATTGTAGTTGGGGTGACTTAGTACTATTTGATAAAATAATAATAACTAAATTGAAGATAAATGTAGTTTTCCATTCAAAGGTCTTATCTTATGTGGCGTAAAGTCTTTTTATAGCCCGTATGTGTTTAGTGAGAGGTTCATCGATTATACAGAAAATGTAATCAAGTCCCGTTTCACTAGGTGCTCGCAATCCGAGGCTGTGCTTACATAATTACGCGTTGTTGAGCAATGGCTCGCTATCGCTATCGGAACATTAGCGAACGAACATTCGATCCTTGGGTTCAATTAAATGGAAGATCACCACAAATGGAATTTCGCTATAGAATTTCCGTTCTTCTTTGTATTTCCGAAGAAATACAGAAATAAAGTCAAGTGATACGAACGCCCATTATTATTAGCGGCGACGATGATAAGCGCGCGGGGGAAACGCTGTAGATATGAGCTACCCTACACAGGGAGGCTGTTGCCCCGCCTGCCGGCTATGCTAAGTGCCATGGTTAAGGGTGTGCACACTCTGCTTGCCCGATTATTCAATAATTAGTGAAAATTTGTTTGGCTCTTATCGGGGCAGGGCAGATATGGCATAGATTACCCAGGTTACATGGGCGTGCGAGCGCAATTCGGCTTCGATTCACTTTTAATTTTGGCAGAATGACAAGCGCAACAAGAATATTAATCTAGACGTGTTGCTCGAGCTGATTACGGGTGCCTTTGACAGCTCGCCGATCGGGCCATAAAAGGCTTTGCCTCCGGCAGGGTTAGAGCAGTGATTGCAGCGATTGGAAAGCAGCGAGACGCCTCAAGCAGCAGCAGCAGCAGCAACAATGAAACAAGGTGAGCATTGCAGAAGGAGGTGACGCTCCTCAGGCCTCATGCTGGATCCATCTGCTTTTCAGTTCTAATCGTAGTCGTTGGACTGCTGGCCATTGGCATCCAGGCACAGGATAATTGCCCCACACCCGTCTACACCGAGAATATTGTGCCCGTGTGCCAAGCAAATACGCGCATCAAGTTGCCCAACTATGCGGACCCCACCTCCTATTATTCCTGCAGCACAGGCGAACCTGTACCGGTGAAATGCGAACCGCCCAAGGGCTACTTCAGCTATGTGCTGCAGGAGTGCTCGACATGCGCCAACTACATACCCGCCGTCGAGTGCTCACAGAATAAGTTGGGCCTCAAATGCGAGAAAATTGATTCTGGTGCCACTACGACACCGTCGGGCTCGACAGCAGCGCCAACAACTAAGACTACAAATGCTGCAGATACAACTCCCAAAACAACCAAACCAGCCACGACCAAGGCAACCACAGTGAATCCCGGACCGACAGTGCCTTCCCCACCGGATGATACGACCGCGGCTCCCGGCCAGATCACCACCCCCAATGGCGATTTACCAACCGGCACCACCATCTTTGTGCCACAGCCCCCATCTCCCAATGATCCCAATATACCCGCTCCGCCTACTCCAGAGCCAACAGTCGGCACCCTGGCCCCTGAGCCGCCCTATGCTCCATAATCTGTATAACCTATCTATATGTGCGTATAAATGCTTATATATGAATACCGTTACCCCCTAATAATGTATATGTACAATTGAGTGCGCGAATCGATGTTGGATTTGAATAAACATTCACAGTGCAATGGCATAGAAACAAACAGGTGCAAGTATTACCCACTAGAGGCAAGGACTCTCTGCTTCTCCACTTAGTCCGCCCAACACTGAATCAGTCACTGTCAATCGCCGCCTCAGTCAGTTATCAATCGTGATCAATCAGTTAGAGCTTAATACTATAGGCACTCAGTCAGATCCTCTGTCTGTCTGTGTCTGTGTGTTAGTCAATCAATCAGTTATCAATCTGTGAGTCAGCCGGTTTCTTAGTCAATCACTCAATCAGTTGACAAACTTGTCAATCAATCAGGCATCAGAACTCACCCAGTTATCCTCCGCCTCGCGCTTATCCACCAGGTACTGATGCAGTCGGGGTCCCAGGCCCTGCGGCGACACGAACTGCTTGATGATGGCCTTGGTTCTCTCCAACTGAGCGGGCGTCGTGATGGGCTCCAGGGCGAGCACATAGTCGGCCATGGTCTGCTCCAGCGGTGGGACAGGTATCTTGGGTAGAGTCTGAAGAAGAAGTAGAGAAGGCGGAAAAGGGTTCACATACTTCTTCCCTTGGTTTCGTTTCGTTTCATTTCCTTCTTTTTATATTTTGAGCTTCTATCAAATTGTATTTGCGTTCAAGTTTTTTTTTTTGTCGTAGCTCATTTATATGCAGGACATTATGGCAGTTAGAATACAAAAGCAAGAGCACAAAAAGCGTAGACCCCAGGGACCCAAATTTCAAATCACAAAAAAGAAAACGAGAAGAAAAAAATGCTGGAAATAGGGCAAGAAATGTGGGGAAGGGGCATGAATCTGACATTGGGTTTCCCCCACGGCATTTTGCCTAGTCACGGACAACTCGAATCAAGAGCTCTGCTCAGCTGAGCTCTCGAGCACTGAGCATCCGAATCCCTAGTGGCCAAACACTCACAATTTCTTTTAAGAACAAACAACGTGCGGATCTCACAATCGATTTAAGATTCGCGCCAAATCAAAAATCGATTTCACTTATTTCCAATTTGATAAAACTTAAAATGAATACCTACAAAAATTACATCAATTGCAAATTAGTAAGCAGTTGATCTGGATTTATTTTGCTCATTTTTAGAGTGGAAAAGAAAAAAGAATATTTAATCTAATACAGCTTAATTAATGTCAACAAATTTTATTTTCCGTAACTATATCGCTGAATCAGAAGACATATGAGTCGAGGGGGAAAGTAAACATCTAGATCGATTGGCTACTATGGTAGAGCATTATAGAATAGGATTACCTATCTTAATTGTTTACATATGTATAGACTCGTAATCGAGTCTGAGCTTAAGTCTGTTTTCGATTGGTTTCTTTCGAATGTTTTGACTTCGAATACCCTTGGAGTAGTAGTCATAACAACATTACAAAGATCTATGCCAGACATTTAATCCTGAATTAAAAATTTATTACTTCTGTATTTTTTGTAGGGTATTTAAGCCTGCATGTTTCTGTTAGACAAGGAAATAGTTATAATATGCAGAAACTTTTCCATCTGTCATTTGACTCAGACAGAAGTCGAGTTGCTGCTATACTCTCTCTCTCTTTGTCCAACTCTCCCTCTCTCTCTCTTACACACACTATCTGTCTAGCTCTGTATGTGTCTCTATTTTCGGGGGTTGCTGCTGTGCTTTTACAGGTGAGTGTGGGACGGGGCATGGGATGAGGGCTGCGGCTGGGGGCCTTGGGATGTTTGTTTACAAGTACGGCGGACTGGTTGTCTGGCTGGGTCTGGTGCCCGGTTCCGGTTGCCCCAGAGGACGACGGTTGCCATACAAAAGCGCTCGTTATTTGCATTTGTAATTATAACAAACAGGATTAGTCTGTCTCTATGCGCGTCTCTCTCTCTCTGTCTCTCTCTGTCTCTGTATTTGTATTTGTATTTGAATTAGTCTAGTAGCAAGTTTGTAGAGCCTTGTGCAAATATTTGAAGTCGACTGCAAAGAAATTCGAAAATTGTGTTAACTCACGTCAGGGAAACCAAATTCGTCTACAGACTCCGCGGTGGAAAGCCATTTTTTGGGTATGGATAGTATGGAGTCTTTCCATCCTGCAAGGGAATTCGAAAAGAAACGTCATTAGATAAAGATTTAGGAATACTCTTAAAACAAAAATCAACATAAATGAAAATAAATCTTAGGTGTCTAGATTAGATGGGCTAAAAATACACTGCCCAAAATAAAATGTGATATTAGAAATTGCGCAGGCACAAAGGTGAATCAAGAGCTATAAGTCGGCAAATAACAATTACTGACTAATGTGTTGTTCACTGCGTTAATCTGAGATGTCTTCTTCGATATCGACTAAATGGAACTACTAGTTAATCACTGTCATATTCGAGTGTTCAGTTGGATTCCACAGAAAATGTAAGTCTCTTATCGGTTAACTAGACTGACAGTAGGGCAGCAGAATAGGGTTTATCGCACTGCTTGGCAGGCTGTCGCTCGCGCTGGGAGCTGATCGGACAGCATGAGATACCGCAGTGAATATAAGCAAGCAATGGCCCGTAGGCTGCCGGCTCTTCAGGCGCTATCTATCTATCTAGCTATCAAGGTCACAAGCTAGCTAAATCCGGCTTGCGAACGCCCATCAAGCTTTTTATTGGCTTCCGCTATTGGCAACGCAATAGAATTGGCCCAAGCAAAACTTAGCCCAACACTCAAGAGCTCAATGCCAGCCCCCTCCACTTGCTGGCTCCATTTTCGGAATGTCCTTTAAAGTGAAACTCGTTGGACTGTAAGTCGAGTGTGTAAGCACTTCCGGTTGCCCAGCGAGACGGCAATTTCCGTTATTAGTGAAGTGAGATAGAGCAGCCCAGACACAACTCATGTATCCGATGACAAATTTCAGAGGAAACAAATAAGTGTCTCGAGTCGCCTCTACCCCGCCTAGTATGCCTCTACCCCGCCTTCATGGGTTCACGGTATAAAAAAGAGCAGCAACTAATTCAAAATGATTGTAGACTTGATCGAGGGGGATAGAGTCATCCGTTTGTTGAATTGTTCCCGTCTACTTATGGCTATCATAATGTTATTAATAAAACTGGTTTTACGACAATCATGATAAAAGCAAAACGGTCTAAACAGCCATCAACCCCAACCTAAACCACAGCACGCGTGGCGTGGTAGCGTCCCGCGTTCCCCGTCCAGAGTCCCTGCACCCGGCGTCTAATGCAATTTATTATCCTTTTTTCATTATCTGGCCAAGACTTGGACTATAACTAGCTACAGTTCTCTCCCTCTCCATCTTTCTCCTCTCTCTCTCTGAACAATGGGGCACGTGGCACCAATTTGAGCATCCGCTCTATTGTTGCTATTCCTCAAATTGTTGTTGTTGTTGTTATTGTTTGCTGTGTCACGGTTGTCTTTGCGAGAAATAACATTAACCACAACCTGTCTAACTCCAGCTTAGCTCCCCTAACGACAGATTGAATAGGCCAACTCAGCTGAACTGAACTGAACTGAACGGAACGGAATGGAACGGAGACGCCCAGCCTCTGACCTGGCCGTAAATTATAATAAATTGCTTTAGGGAAATTCAAATTAAGTAATTAAACTGGAGCTTGTGCTCTGTGAAGCTGGCAGTTCTATTGAATTCAGTGAACTAGTTCAAATGTTCATTTTCATGAACGTCGTTTGTTTCATTCATCATTTCCATTAGCTGGATTAGTTTAGTGAAATGTGGGATTCCAGTTCGATTCGATGAACTAGCTCATATTAAGCAGAAACAACTCCTCATTCATTGAATTGATGTGAAGAGCTCGTTCAATTGTTCATTCATTTTGATAGCATGTTAATTTAACTATACCGTTAAGATCTTTTTCATTTCGACGACCGACTAAACTGAGAGCTCACTGATTTAAAAGAACAAGTTCCTTTGACTAACGCATTCAATGAGACTTTTTGTGAACATTTCGACGCAACTCTAATACTCTGCGTCATCCAGGACTTCGTCTTATCTTAAATAGTCGCAATTCTTAACTTTCAAGAGTTGAATAGGAAAGTCAACTAGTCAAGAAAGTAACTGACTTGAAAATACCCTACTCCAGTTTCATAACATGTAAGTGAATCCATTTTGGATTGTTTTTTTATACCCTGCAACGCTATCAAAGTGGGAGTCGAATATACTCGCTTCTTTGCACGTTCGCTATTGACTAGTCTTCACTGTAGCACAAATTGGATACATTGCATTTGCATCGCATTCAATTATGCGCTCTGACATGGACACATTTCCCATTGATTGATTGATCGATTGATGCTGGGATTTTTGATTAGGCAGACAGAGGGCGGCTAATCAGATATTCATGCGCCATTGCAGGGCAGACAGGGCGTACATCCGCTTCCCATTCCGTTCGCGTTTTCGTACTCGTACTCGCATTCGTATTCGTATTCGTTTTCGTTTCCGTTTCCCCTTGGAGCAGCTGTCTACCGATTCGCTTATTGATGAAGCCGTCAGGTTCAATTTGTGTCTGGCTGTCAGTTATTTTGTCGACTCATGCTCCGATGTTGCTTTTGTGCTCCCAGCTCGTTTTGCTTTTTGGCACATTAGCTCATTATGATATTCATTATGCTGATGTGGGGACGATTCACACCCCGTCTGCTAAGCTGATGGAGCTTATTGGCCACACGCCTCCCATTTTAACGGGCAGCAATAAAACGCTTCAATAAACCAAACAAGCTCATTATTAAGCAGCAAAAATCACGCTCGAATGCCTTGAATTTCTCTCGCTGCTCGCTCCCCCGCTGGATGAGGCTGAAGCTAAACCTGATGCTGATGCCGGGCGGAGGTTAGACGACAGCCAACTGCTGCCGCCTGTCAGACGCGGCGATAAAAATGTAATCCCAATGAAAAATAATGTTGCTTCGCAGCCACGATTCCAATTTAGCAAAAACAGTCAACCCCCACGACCGCGGCTCATTACGGCCCGCACAGCTCGGCAGAGATGGAGCAGGAAACGGCCGGCAGTAAGGGACAGGGCAGGGTAGAGCAGGGGAATCGATGCTGCATTTGAAACTGTTGATCTTTAGACCTGCGTATCCCTCTGCATTTAGCAGAAACCGAAGCAAATGAAGCGAAGCAATTTAAAAAGGCAAAACAAATCCGTGAATCCGTGAGGCGACCCTCACTCTGTCGTCTACACGAAACACCAGTCGAACAAGCTGTGAGCCCAGCTGGGTGCAGCAGGGGGCAGCAGGGGGTAGCTGCATGCCCACAGCATTCTCGACTGACTGAATGATTGAATGAGTGAGGGACTGAGTGAGTGAGTGTGTGAATGAATGAATGAATGAGCTTTCGCTCCTTTTGTTCGCTTGCTGGGTGCAAAGGGCTTCACTTCTATATTTGAGGGTGTTTCGCCCTTGCCACACCAGCTACCGCTACCACTCCTGCTCCCACTGCTTCCGCTTCTGGCACGCACGCAACAATTGAGCCGTAAATCCTTTACGGCCTTAGCGCTTGCTGTTTTACGCCGCTTCCAATATATATTCTCGTTGAGTCTTTGGCTGCGCTTTTGTGCTCCTGCGGCCTGTTCTTGGGATTGTTTTGTGCGCCTAACCAGGCATCCTCTCTTATTATAGACTTTTGTGCCGCAAACAAAATGAACAGCCTCATATTATTTGTGTGTATTTTTTTCCTTTTCTCATTTAATTGTTTGAATTGAAACAAGCGGAAAGCGTAAATTGCTTACGTATTGCTTTGTTGCCCCTTGGGCTGCATTATATCATAGCGACGACTAGAAGATGCCCTAAGCACATGAAATATATAAAATACACAAAAGTGAACTACTCAAAGTCAGTATCGAATCTGCATAAAGCTCGTATGGTTCTCGAGTTTTGGGTATAGACAAACATATGTATATCAAAAGATACTATGATAGATACTATGATATATGATGATGGCATGTAAGCAGCAAAACTGAAAAACAAAAAGTAATTCATATGAAAAAAGATTTATGGAAAGCTGAAATTATCTAGAGCCCAAAGTTTAAGAGTTATGCTGGAGTTACTATGGGTTGGATATTGATGGCACAAATGGAAAGTCCATGATGGAACATAAGTAATGCTATCAACAGAAAATAAGTATCCAGCTCTTATAGAATCTAATTCAGGATATTTTCGAATCGGTTTATATTGATCTCATAAAGTTGAAAGCGGATATCATTAACAAAAATTAAAGATTTTTTAAATGACAAACAAGAATGTCTTTAATAAAAAATATTTAAAATTTCAAATAACAAATCCAAATTGGAGAAGTTTGATTGTAGCAATATGTCAAGTGTGAAAATAGTTGTTAGAATGTTAGATTGTTTCAGCATACATACATATATCTGTATCTAGTTTCGAGAGCTTTTCATAAAATTCAAGTCTAGAACTAATACACTCGCTTTCACATCAACAACATCTATTGAGTGCATCTGACAGACACTTGGTCTACATGGCCCGCTTACCGTGTGGCCTGGGATGGCTGGATAAGATGGGGCTGCCCACTTTTCGGCAGCCACAGCAAGCTAAAGTTAGTTTCATATTTTTGGGGCTCAGCGCTGGTGCGTGCCAGAGGCTCGTGGCCAAAAAGTTGCTAATGGAAATTGCAAAACAGAAAATCCATTTTCCACACAGCAACAACGTCCAAAATTTCACAGCCTCAGGGCACGCACATAATTTCCTTTCGACCAGCAGCGGTTGCTCCTGCTCCTGCTCCTTCTCCTCCTGCTAATGCTCCTGCTCTTGCTTTAGTTCGTTGTTGTGGAACCACCACCAAATGCAGAGCAACCACCAAACCACAGAAGCAAAGTTTCAACAGAACTTTGGCTACATTCAACTTTCTCACTCACTCTCTTACTCTCTCTCTCACACGCTGTCTCTCTCCCTCTCTCGCTCCTTTCCAATTAGGTAATTCATATAATTATAGCTAAGGTCCCAATTGAAAGACTTCTTTTTCATGGTTAACAATTATATTTCAATAGTATTTCATTTGGTTGTTGTATTTTTGTATTTGTATTTGTATTTGTGTGTATTCTGCTGCTCTGTAATATGCATTATCGTTATCCTTTCAATATTTCACTTGATCCATACGCATTTCAATTACAATAATTTATTTATGATATATATATGTATATTCCATTCGTATTCTTAGTATGCCGTTAGCTGTTCAATGCCATGATTTCTTGATAGAGCAGGGGCAGCGGGTTGGGAAAGTAGATAAATAGATGATAGGTATAGGCATGAAGTGTTACCCGTCAATTGTATATTTGATATAATTACTTCAAGCATAGAGTATTTCGCTTTCAGTGAACATAGTTAAGAGTTAGAAACTAAAGTTTTCTTTGGATAGACTTTGAAATTGTGAACAGCAAACGTTTTCAGAACTGTTTTGAGTATAGAATAGAGTTAGAGTTTGAGTTTGAGTTAAAAGTTCTCTTTAGCATTTTCCATAATTGTTTGAGGCTCTATTACAAATATATATTTATATTTATATAATAATACAAATACTAGTTTAACACAAACGTCTATAACATTAGCAGAAACAAATTGTGGAGTTTTGATAATTTAATCTAATCTTAATATATGTATTTGAAACACTTTGATCAAAACTTACCATACGCAACTAATTTCTCTCTTCTTCTTGCTATACAAAAACTGAATTGTGGCGGAATTTCTTGAGGGCTTTTCGGATAGTACAAATACATTTGCCTATAGCTCATTAAATCAGTTTTTTCTTCTTCTTTTTCTCGAAAATGAAATGTATACATTTAAAAATTATTATTATTTTTTTTTTTGCTTTTGTTTAACTTTTAAATATTTTATAATATGTAAAAATTATATTATTCATATATTTGTAATTATAATTTTAATATATTATTGAACATTCAACACTTTAAATACATATTTTATGATTTTAAGTTCAATTTTAAAATTATTGTTATTATTTTTTTTTTTAATTTTCTCTTGTTTATAACTTTGTGTTTCTGTATGTAGCACATCGTACATTAATTATATATATATTTGTTTAATACATATTTATATATTTATATATATTTATATATTTATATATACGTGTGTGTGTATGTTAGCAACACTGTTTAATTTTTACAATACGTACAGATATAGTCGTAATTTGTTAAAAATTGTTCAATTTCTTATAAAATTTCGTTAGATATTACACTTAGCCGGCCCTTTAGCATGCTTAATAACGTACTCCTACCATGAGAATACCCCATAAGTATCATAGAGTATTCGTTAGTGCTGTGCAGCGTTCGTATTGGCTACTCCAATCCAATTACTAAACATCATTTCAATACTCGTTCACGATGAACACAAAGGGAGTATATTGGTTTTTGCACAATAATTGTGTGTGTGTTTGTATATTAACTTTAAACATCTAATATCGGATGTAGATTTCGTATGTATGGGGTAATAAATCAAAATCCTTTTTTGTGTCGTGAGCGAGTATTATGCAGTCGATAGCGTCCGAATGCCACATTTTAACTGTTTTAAATGTAAATTTATATAATATATATATATATATATATATATATATATATATATATATATATATCTTTTTTTTATATTTTGTATTTTGTGTATATATCTATTTTTATATATATATCTAATTACATATTTATTTTTAAATATTTTTTTTATTTACTTTTATTTTGTTTTTGGAAGATACTTCAAACATTTTGTCAAATGGTCTCTGCTATATGTAAAAAAAAAAAAAAAAAATCAGTGGATTAATTCTGAAAATTTTCCTTTTTTTCCAATTTGAATTTGATTTTGGTTTTGAATTTGGATTTGGATTTGGTTTCGGAACAGAAGACCATTTTGAATGAACAGAATGTTTGTACAGCTTCATATGTATGTAAATCTAGTTTCTCTTTCTGTTTCATAGTTTATATATAATTGTTTTTTAACTAATTGGTATATTGCTTTCCGAAATGTTATTTAAATATGTATACTGATACTGACTGTATATATATATATATATATATATATATTTAGTGTTGTATATGTAGCGATTCATTCGTAACGGATCGTGGCATTATCTTTAAGACTCTGCTTGTGACGTGTGTGTGTGTGTGTGTGTTTGAAATGAACCTTTGATGCTTCTATGCTATGTTAACATGGATCGTAATCATACATAAACTATATATATATTAATTCTTTATTCCATTCTATATAGTATATATAGTGTTTTTTTTAAGATTCTGCTCGTACGGTGTGTACTTGTTTTAATTGATACGTTTGATGGGAGATTTTTTCATGAGTTTTCATTCATTCATATTTACTAAGAGCTTGCTTAAAATGTATTATAAATATATTTATATATATGTTATGTATGCTAAATGATAATATACAGGTTACAAACGGAGTGCCACATAAAGGAGAAAACAGTATATATCGGGTATTGAATATATATGTATATATACTTATTATGATCTATTCAAAACGGTTGCTTAACTAATTGCTTTGAAAATCAGTGCATTTGCTAGACATATAGTTCGATAGATATGTATGTATATATGTATATATTTTTGCAGTATATGGGCTATATAAACTAGGCTGGTATTCTGCTTCTTAAAATTCCTCAAAATAAGCTCTAACTGTATATGGTATATATGTATATATACATATATATACTCGCAGATTAGATAACTTTGCTGTTAATTTGAAAAAATGGCCGTGTCACTGATATGTTTACGGATATAGAATGTTCAAGAGTTTCAACTAGCGTAATTATTATGTAATACACATTCAAAATCTATAAATATCTATGGAATAGATATATATGTATATATATTCATGTATATATGTGCTAACACAGACCAACTAAATTTGATGACATTTTGTAATCAATCCATAACACTAAACTGTTAAATGAGTTCATTTTAGATATTCCCAATTTGGATCTAGAAACAGTGACATGAGCTAGAGATAAAATAAGTTTACATTAAAGCAAAATAATTTGAAGAGAAACTAAAAAACTATATTCCAATATTCCACTAAACTAGTATATCCCATTAGAATATCTCAAGAATCTGACTTGATAGCTGTCAGCCTCACTTTCAGCTTAGTCTGCCTGCCTGATTACGCAATCCAATTGACCTATATAACAGACTATAAAAGATTGTGATAATTAACTGTGTACAGTAATTGTTATACAAAAATGTTCAGTTGACTTAGATCCTAGACAGAATAGGTGTATAATATATGTATATATAGAGAGCAGCTATAAAAAGCTGTCTGCAAAATATGAGTGCAATTAAAATGATATATATATATATATATTTAACGTACAGTTAGCTAAGTTGAGATAATGTATCTGTCGATACATACACAAGGTACACACATTTATGCTATGCTATTATCGAGCTGCTAGGCCTAGGCTATACCCTGTATACACATAGATATAGAGGGGGCTTAGCCAACGGTCGCATAGAGTCGACAAAGCAAATAATAATTGATTGGTAGGTATATATGAAACATCTAATATTTTCAAATTCTTGTTACGGACTAAACATATATATGTATATATATAAATATGTATGTATGTATATATAGACGATATTTGATGTATACTCGTGCATACATGCACCATATATGTACATATATCGTACTAATAGCAATAGTTAATATCACTTTGGTAATTTAAACAGGCGAGCCATTGAGACTCTGATATGTATCGTTACCTTGGTTGTGTCTTATGTTAGAAATATCAGTAAATACTTGAAATCAAAAATCGTTTTCAAAACTCCAAATGATATGGCACAGCCGGTCGGGCGGCAACACGATGCCCCACAGATGCGTCGCAATGGCACACGAAAGGGTGTATATAGTTCGGTTTGTGCAAATTGTGATATGTCTGCGATATGAATGCCATTGCCTGCTCCTCAGCACGACGACACCTGTGGCACCTGTCCAGCCTGCTCCGCTGCGCCGCTTACGTGCTACGGCTTGTATAAATATGTATATAACTATGTGTCTATATATATATATATATATATATATATATATGTGATATCTGTTGCAGATCGGAACTAGGAACGAGCGCTGCTGCTCCTTGAGTTTGATCCAATTATGACTATGCTTTGGTTGCTCTAGCTTCAGCGTATAGAGTACTGAGTATAGTTGGACCGACATCGATAACGGTGCCAATATACTACATATATGTATATCCTATGTGTAGCTGCGTGCAATCAGTGTATGATACAAAACTGGTGCGTGGGGGCTTTAGCAGCTGAACTTGAACTATTTGCATGCCATATGCAGTTTTATAGTGTACGTACCACTTACTATTTATATATATATTTATATATATGTAGGTAATATCCTAAACCAAATTCAAGGTGAGTTCAACAAAATTATAGGTATATGTATATATAGAAATGATAATATCTTTTCTTGAAGACAACAGTTTAAAATCCTTGTCTAAAGGGATTCGCTGGTCCAGCTGGACCTCTGCTTGGCTGCTGCTGCTGCTGCTGCTGCTGTGCCTGCTGGAAAGGATTCGCCACGCGTGGCTGGGCATAGCTGCCGCCCTGCTCCTGGTAGCCCGGCTGGTAGCTCTGATCCTGCTGGTAGCCAGCGGCCTGCTGATAGTCGTACTGCTGGTGCTGCTGCTGCTCGTCCAGATTGGTCTCCTGCTCCGATTGGTACTGCTGGCCGTACTCGAGGTGATTCTTGAGCTCGCCCTCGACGGGCTTCTGGTCGTGCATGACGTAGGTCTGGTACTCCTTGTTGGGCGGATCCTGCATCAATATGTTGGCCTCGTTCTCGAACGGCTTGAAGTCGTAGATGTTGCGCAGCTTGCGCAGCACGGGCACATAGGCCAGATTCGAGAAGGCGATGAGAAAGTTGAGCGCTGTGAATCCAATGGCCTCCACAACGCCGCCCGCTATGATCGGCCCCACGGCATAGGCGATCGAATAGGAGATGTCCGCGATGGCGTAGATGCTGCCATAGACGGACACATAGCGCACGTCCACCAGGTAGCCCAGCGTGGGCAGCAGCGCCGTGTCTATCAACGCGATGCCGAAGCAGATCACACAGATGGGCAGCATGAGCGTCTTGTAGCCCCCACAGAAGGGTATGACGAAGCAGGACAAGCCCTCCAGGGCCAGCCCGCCGGCTGCCATTAGCCACTGATGCTGCGGATACTTGCGTGCCATCTTCACGGTTATGACCACGCCCAGCACGTGTGGAAAGAAGGCGGGCAGCCAGACCATGCCGATCTTCCAGTTGTCCGTGGTCATAGTGTCCTCCATCCACAGCGAGATGGTGGGCTCCAAGAAGGCGAGTGCCACATTCGACATGGTCAATGCTCCAGCGCAGACGGCGATGTAGGGATCCATGAGTAGGCGCCAGATGGGTATTACCTGGTTCTGGACCTCTTTGCTCTGTCTGATCTGTTCCTTGACGGGCTTCATGACCAGCAACAGCATCAGGCCATCCAGCAGGCAGACCAGAGCCAATATGAGGAACGGCACCTCTTTGCCCGCAAATTGGTACAGAGCGCCGCCAAAAGGGGGCGCCACCAGGCAGCCGAAGCTAATGAATGCCAGCGCAATGCCCAGCGCCTGCGATCGCTCGTTCTCCTCCGTGAAGCGATCCGCAATCATGGCCAGACCCGAGGTGTCGGCGAACGCCGAGCCAGCGCCCTGCAGCGAGCGGGCGAAGAAGAGGACGCTGTAGCTGCTGCCGCAGGCGAAGACGGCCGTCGAGAAGAACATGATGGTCAGGCCGATCATCATGGGTATGTCGTAGCCGATTTTGTCAATCAAGCCGCCCGAGAACGGATTCACCATCAGCTGGACAATGGCCTTGGAGGCAAAGAGTATGCCCGTGGCCGAGTCTTGACCGTGATGATCGTGATGCGTCGGAATGATTCGCCCAGTGACATTATCTCGGAGTGGCGGCGGCGTTGGGCCCTCATCGAAGCTGCCAATCTCGCGCAGATAGTCGGGTATGATCGGCACAATGACCATGTACAGCATGTTGTCCAACAGCAAGGCAATGGAGACAATGACCAGGATGAGGCGACGCTGATTCACCGGCTCCTGTATCTTCTCCCACACAATCTCCTTCACCTCGCGCACCTCCAGGTTGATCAGCGGTATTTGGAACGAGGCCATTTTGCTTTGCTTCTCTTTTGATTAAGTACTAAGAATCGCTTGATCTCTTCCAATCTCTCTTTCTCTTTCACTCTGCAAGCACAACTTCAGTAGCAGGCGTCCATTTTGCAAGCTGCTCTTTCGATTTGATTCTAGAATTGCTTAAGCTCTATCGCTCTCTCGCTCTCTCTCGCTCTTGCTCTCCGCAGGCTGCAGTTTAGTAGCTTAGGCAGGGGGACATTTTATTTGTAGAATAGCTTGCGTGCTCTCTATGCCTCTCTCGCTCGCTCCTTCTTTGTACTATGTGTAGCCCTTATAGTTGATCTGCTCTTTTGCTTGCTGCTCTGATGCTTTTCGATTTCATGTCCGCTGCCGGAAATTGGGCTGCTGCATCCGTTTGCGGTTGACTTTTGGTGGTTCGCTCGTTTGTGGTTAACTCCAGTTTGCTTTGTTGCAGTTGCGGTTGCAGTTGCACTCACAGCTGTTTCTTACATGATTTCGTGCTACTGTGTTTGCTGTTGTTGTTGTTGTTAGTGTGTGAGTTGTTGGCATGCCAGTGAACAACCTTTAACGACACAGAAACAAGATTTCGTTAGTTCTTTCATTATTGCTCAGACAGTAGTTAATTGTTTTTGTTTTTTTTTTTTTTTCTCTCTTTTCTCTTTTCTTTTTTAAACATAATTGATTTGATTTGGCACTTTTATTGAAATATCATAGAATTTGATCATTTGTTTTTATGATTGAAATGTTGTTTCTGTGTTGCAAAAGGTTGCCTGCTGGTGAACAACAAAAATGTGTATTTGTTAAGATTAGTTTACACATATTTACATAAATTAAGTAGAGCGCTTGCTGCTTGCACACATTTCAATCATAAAACAAATACCGTACCATATTCTATAGAGTATTCCAAGTGCCACTACAATGGCATTAACAATAAATACATATGCAATTACTTCAATTGGGCCGCGAGGGTAGTTCGACAAGCATGCTCACAGCCGCGTGGCCACACTTCAGAATCATCTAATTACATGTAATATTCGCTTTGTTCCACACAAAAGCGAAACAACAACCACAAGCTTTGACAAAGCGCTTGAACGACACGCAAGCCACAAGAAGTGGCTTGAGTCCCAGTCCACTAAAGCAGTCAATCAATGGAGTGGTTCTAGTGCAAGGAGAGTAGGGAAGAGGAGCGAAGAGTTGATAGGAGAGCAAAGGAAGAGTAAAGAAGAAACGACTCGAGCTGCTTTATAGTTGATCGAATCTGTCGATAGCTTTAAACTATCAGGACTTTTCATACATATGTACATAAGTATATACCTTTATTATTATGCAACAATTTTATAGTTTAAAGTTGAAGTCTCAGCACCTTTTAGTTGCTCTATTTTATATTCTTGCCATTTATAGACCCAATGGACAACTGTCTGCTCTCCCATGCCAGCTATCAATGCTGATCTAATTTCAACATTTATCTACCTTGTTGCCACCCCCGAAAAGACAAACACAACATAAAAACGTTACGTGTGCAGGGTATTAAAATATACCCAAACTCCCTCCAGCCCAACAACCAACGCACCATCCAACCATCGAGTCGTCGAGCCGTCGAGCCGTCGAGCCATCCAGCCCCTGTCTGATGGGGTCTTTTGGTATATGCGAGACGTTAGAATAACATTTCGTTTTATCATTAAATTTTCATGACCACGTTTCGTGTGCTGTTTTATTTTTTGTTGTTGCTGGGCAAACCCCCACCTGCCTTGCCTTGCGTTTCTGTTTGGGTGGGTGTGGCTGATCGAAGGCGGGGGCCGGTGGCGCTGAGCATAGCCAGCCCTTGGGCTTCTTGCACATGAGTCAATTATCGTGGATGTGTGTGTGTTTGTGTGTGTGTATATGTGTGTATGCGTGAGCTTTGCTATCACTCGCTCGCTGAGCAAAAGAGAGTGTATTGGTATTATAGCGCCGTATGAATAGAAAGTTAAAGCGAAGGAATATAATCTCCATGTATCATAGAAGAGAGCCCTTGGAATCGAGCTGAATAGACAAGCAATAAAGTTATTGCATTCCTGTTCGTTAGTAATAGTCGACTCCATTGTATACATGCATAGTTTGTATAAAGCAAGAAGCTATAATGTTTGCAAGAGCAGCTCGATACGAGTCCAGTCTCTTAAGGAAATGTAGAATTATATTGAATGGCCTTTGGCAGAGACTGCAATAGATTCACAAACTAAGCGGAGATTTTCTGAGAATCCTTTTGCTTTAATTGCCTAAAAGGTTGAAGCAGTTGAGCAACTCAAATGACGGGGAATGCAATCAGTTAGTCTGAAAGCTAGAGCTAGGGCTTCGCGAACACCTACAAGCTGATATGTGTTAGATTTTAATCTAAAGGTGATCTGCCTTATAGATGGAAAAGGCTGTAGAACTCTCAGCATGGAACTGAAATCGAAATCAATTGGAATGCTTGAACGAGTATTGACAGATGAGTGCATCCAATTATCAAATCTGAAATACTTTAGAGATGGAAGACGTTGATAAGCTATAAGCCAGTCGATGGTATCCATAAGAATGCTGCTTGAACGAGTATTAAGCAGTCGATAACTGCCAGTTCACATGACATTCATACAGCGGAAGACTTTAATTTTGGGTTTGTTTTGGTGTGCTGCAACAGGAACAGGAACAGCAACAGCAACAGCAACAGCAACAGCAACAGCAACAGCAACAATAGAAGCAACGGCAACGGCGACTGAGTCGTGGCTCAGGTGGGTCGCTTTACTTGACCCTGGGGTTGGCTGCACGCGCTGCTTTTTATCAAAGCCAGGGGTTGGCACTCGCAGCTGCTCGCTGCTCGAGTCAAGTGCAGAAACGTGTGCCAGCGCCAACATGTTGGTTATAATAATGAACGAGACCAGGCCAAGCCCAGGGGCCTGGCACAACATCGGGATTATTAAAGTTCACACAGACAGAGAGAGAGAGAGAGAGAGAGAGAGAGAGAGAGAAACTTTGAACATCAAACAGCGGCAATTTATGTTTACGCCTTTATAATTTTATTGATTTTTCCGCGCTGACTGGCAAAAAATAAAAATAAATTCTGTTTGCAGCTGACGAATTTCCCAGCAAATAAACCAATTTCTGTTACATTTTCGGATTCGTTTTCATTTTCGTTTTCTGTTTCCATTTGTATTTCGGTTTCAGTTTGTGTTTCATAACGTCAACTTCTGCGGCTCTCATTATACCTTCTCGGCTTCCTTTTCATACTTGCCTCAATTAGCAAAGCCTCGAGTTCATATTTTATGTATGAATTGCGCATCTGTTGCGATTCTAAAGCATTCACAAGCAAGCCAAAGCAACCTCTGCCCAGCCTTGTAGAGAGAAAAGTCTTACTGTTATCTTTCCCTCTAAGCACTTATATTGTTGTTCTCTGTGTGTGTGGAAATTCAATCTATCCGCAGACAACTAGATAAAACCGGCCAAGTGCACTATAAATTGAAATTCTCGCCTGCAACTCAAGCTGCCTGGCATAAGAGGCAGCTGCAAAATAGATTACTTTTCACATAGTTTTTTTGCGCAGTGCACATAAGTAAGCAGTTGAGTTATGAGCTTTCTGTTTGCTTCAGTTGCTCAAAAAGTCTGCGGAGGGGAGCCCATCACGATGGGGAGTGCTCGACTGTGAGATACCCAGAAATATATGTATGTAGTAAAAGAAGAATAAATAAGGATATGAGGAGCATAATATATTTTCCACTAATTTATATATTTAAATATCAACAATTGATCAAACTACCCTTCTTCTGTCTGCCACCAAACCAATTTTCACTTTCCACCCACTTAAAAATAAAGTTTTATCAGCTTTCCATACACCCCCACTCCACTGGCTGCAGGGTATCAAAAAGAAAATTACATTTCTGTTCTGCTCTAGACGTGGCCCTCTGCCGTCCGACTGCTCGAATAGGTAAACAGGGCATAGAAATACAATTTCATTTTTCTTTCAAATTAAAATCGCACACACATATAAGTACGTTAGCCAACACTGGCTGGGAGTGGGTGTTGAGCGGCAGCGTGTAAAGCGTGAAAGGAAAAACCAATCATAATATTTATGATAAGCCGCGTTTCATTTGTCAGCCTACAAAAGGCAGCGCTAATCCTTACAAGTGTTCCATTGTGCACACACAGAGTGAGAGATGGAAAGAGATAGAGAGAGAGAGAGAGAGACGCACATACATACACATGTATTTAGAGACACCCTTCCCTCATCGAGCATTTGTGAAGTGTTGTAAGCTGCTTTACTCAAGTGGATCGGACTGGGCAAAGTTTGCTGTGCGCTGAGCCGTGCGCATATTTATGGCACTCACTGTTTCCAATCAAATTCGTTGCCTAATTTCGGGCGTCGCTTTCATTGATTAATGACATGTGAACCAGACGTGTGTGTAGCGTTGATGTGTGTGTGTGTGTGTGTGGGTGTTTGCTAATTTGTTCTCTGTCTTGCCATTAATTGAACTGTGCTCAGGTGTGTGTTAACCGCAACTTGATCGATTTGGCTTCACCTTAACCCTCTTTTCTCTCATTTCTCGGACTTGCCCTCTCGCAACGTCTTTATCCGTTTATTCGCTTTGTTTTCTGTTGTCAAGTTTAATTGTCTTGTCTCTGGCTTTGGCCCTATCGATTTCACTGCAATTGGGTTAGCTTAGTTAATTGGCCGTAAGCCAAATATTTTAATTGCAAAACTTTTCAAAAGAATCAAAAATTATCAAAAAAAGAAGAAAGGAAAGGGAAAAGGAAAAGGAAAACAAGTGAAACGTGGGCCGCCCACTTTATCTGTTATCATTGTTGTCTTTGCTACAGCTTTAAATGGCTTTCAGTCAATTCCCTGGAGGCTGCGTAGCCACTTAGCCGGGATCAGGCTGCAGCTCCGCAGATTATGGTCGCACCAGCTCCATTTACAGCGCCCGTAAATATAAGAGGAGCGTGTCTATTACACCAAATGGCAAGCGAATACTCTTTGCCTCAAGGCTATTTACATTTTGTGACACCAGAGAGCAAAGCTCGAAGCATCACGCACTGGTCTCTGCCTGCCTGTCACTTAATGAATTTATAGATACTTTTGCTATGTTACACTCGCTTCAGCCGCTTCCCATTCCAATATGTACTAAGTGTATCCGAGCTTCATCTAGCTCTTCATTTTGCCTGGCTTCTAATGGCACAATGGGGCGTATACGTGCCTTGGCCTATAAATCAAAACATTAACTGGGCGTGGCCAGGCAGTGAGTGTGCGTGCTTCTACAGCTCCTAAATGGCACCTCATTCGCCATGCCACGCCTCTATGGCAGCGCCTTCCCTACAGAATAAGCCTCGGCCAGCTTCGCTTACAAATTGCCAGTCAAATAAATTACATTGTATGCGCGAGTCCATTGCTCTATATGTATATATGTATATATGTATAGAGACTTACATGCATATATACTCTGTTAATTTTGTCGGCTGTCCAAGCCTGATTAATCGCTAGTTCTGTCGTTTCGCAGCTCGTGCGACAAGGCGCAAAATGTGAACATTTGTGGCGCTACAAATGCCTCCCAATCAACAACACCATCAGCGACCGGTTTACAAGTTTACGACTTTTGATGTTGCTGCAGCAGCATCCCGGCTGGGTCTGTGGCAGGGGCAGGGGCTGGGGCTGTGGCTGAAGGCTGCTGCCAGACCCAGAGTAACCTCTCGTCCTCGGGTGCCCCATCAAGTTGCGCGCTCAGCGAGTGCAAGGCGGGCATATCGAAAGGCGAATAACTAAGTCTGAACTGAAAAGTTCCCTTAGGTAATATAGAACAAAAATGTGAAATAAGTTTCTTACATGCAATCTGCATTAGATGCCTTCAAGGACAATGGCCAATAAATAGGGTATACAAATGTTCGATGCCAAATCTTATATAGAGTGAAGCTTAAGGCTACCTGAGATATAGATACTCTATAGCTATAGAGATTAAAGATGTTTAAGTAGCCAACATTCCTGATTAGAGTGACATCAATTATCAAGTTGTGGGTCTGCATTTCGGAAATCTGACTAAATGAGATCTATGTGCGCAATTACATATATGGAAGAGAACCTTCACAAGTTTTAAAGGTGGTACCAGAGACTTATTCATGTGCAGATCTTTACTCTTACATATTAGCTATGTATATGGACAGCTTTTCATGTTCCTTGATTTAGCACGTGAGCGGGAATCGGAGAGTTATATGCAAATGACTCCATTTCTATAAACCGTAAAAGTCTACAGAATTATATCTAAATACAGCTAGAAGTAATTTTCCAGAAAGTTTTCTTATCAATTCGGGCTCCACTAAGCTGAGCGGGTATCACGCAGTCGATTGCCAGCAGATGCATTTGCTGCTGCTTATGGCTCAATAGAAGCAGGTTCAACCCTCGAGTTGCTGCTGCTGGTTTGCGGTCTCTCGATTGGGAAAGGGGCTGACGGGCTCTATGTGTGTGTGTGTGTATGTGTGTGTGTCTGTGACGTACGCTCGCTCCTTTTATCAGACAGCATCAAGACAAATGCGTTACTTGTTTCTCGTTTGGGCTTATTACGAGCTACCTTCCTTCCTGCCAGGCAGCCTGGCAGTGAGACAGTGAGGCAGTGAGGCAGTCATCCCAGCCCCGCCGTCAGCCACCCCATTGGAATGGCTTTTGTTTTGACATGAAGACCGCTATGAACACATCAGCGTTACAAACGCCTCGACAAGGGCAAACAAGGCAAACAATCTAATGACAAGGCGGCAGCCAGCGCTCGCTCTGTTTGTCTTTGTGTGTTTCTGTGGCAAATTTATATTTATTGGCTTCATTATGCTACAGCAGCAGCAGCAGCAGCCGCAGCAGCCACAGCAGCAGCAGAGACTACCATGTGCAGGTTTCTGTCTCCAGGAATGATTTTTGCCAACCCTCAGCAAATTTCTTGCTTTTAATGATTTAATGATGAAACTAAACACAAACTTCATTTGCTTTTGGCAAAAATTTCCTCTGAATGTAAGGCATGGCAGTTATTTTCACAGTATTTAATTGAAAATATAATTGTCGATTGCATAATGTGAATATCATAATATAAAAGTAAGAGAATGCTCCACTTGCAGTTATCCGAGCTGAACTGAAGAACTGACACACAGATATGACTATTAATATAAGTTTAGTGTATTAAACCTTTTGCATGGGGCTTAATTAAGGTAAGTTGTCAAGCGAAAGATGAAGAATCAAAGACGAGTTTTAGTTATTCCCAAAAGTTGCTCATATATACTATATACTATTAATTTTTAGTATATTAACAAAATCCGTAGAAACTAAATTTCTAAATGTTTTAATAGATATTTTGTAGACACAGAAATACATATGTATATTATTATGTATTTTAGTATGTGTATATGCTAAATGAATGGCAAAATATGTAATAAAGCTCTAAGTAAAACATTTTTACATTTTATTTTGCATTTGAATTTGTTGTATTAAGTACAACCGAATATAATATCCAACCAATTTTACACATATAAATGTTTATTGTTTCTCACATTTTATTTATTTAAAATGAATATAAAATTGGCCTCAAAAGGAACATGAATACAAACTTTTAATACGAAACAATTTATTAAGGTTAAATAAATAAAAATTATTTAAAAGATATATTTTTAAAACTTTAATTGAGTATTAGTTTAATATATTAAAATATTTTTATATAGTGAAATATTCTAGATAATTAAAAAATTAAAAATTAAAAATATATAAATTAATTTGATTTTAAATATTTACAGCTCTTCAGTCTTAAACAGATCTAATTAAATAATAAAATAAAGGTAAGAAAATATAAAATAAAATAAATGCCTAGAAGCCAAATGGTTTCGATTGCTAAACAAAATTTGTATACTGCACATTTTTGGAATTTTTGGTAAAACTTCAAAATCAAGCTTCCTTCATCATTGCAGTTTAGTCGCGCATTACATAAGAACTAGAAGCGATTTAACCTCTGCTCGCAGACACGTTGAAAATCTAACTGTAAGTGTTTCAATTCCATTTTGTGCCAGTGACAAAAGCAGAAACGGAATGGGCCACGAAATTCGCATGTTCCTGCACACACACACACACACACACACACACACCCACCTGGCTGAGCATAAACTGTGCCTGTGTGTGTGTGTGTTTGTGTATGTGAGACGGTGTATGCGTGTGTGAGTGTGTGTAGAGGCCGAAACACTTGGAGCTTTTTTAGCAGTGCTTGCATGCGAGAAGTTTGTTTAATTTTAATTAGATGCGAATATCCTAGGCAAGTTATGTAAGCCACTCGCATGGAGGACAAACACTGCTAGAGCTAGACTAGAGCTGTATGCATACATATAGATATAGATAGCTGTATAGGTATTGGTGTATCCGACTAACCTGTATCGCTCGGTGTGATATTGCTCAGGCGATGGCTGAGAAAGCCGCGCAAGTTGGAGACGACACGCTGCGGCGAGTTGGGGCCGCTGCCAATCGAGAAGCTACGCAGTTTGGAGAACAGGGCGGCCGATTCAGCGCTGCTCCCGCTGGCTCCACCAGCGGCGCTGCTGCTGCTGTTGGCCTCGTTGGACGCCACGTTCGTTGCGTCCACAAAAACGGAGTTGGCAGGAAAGCAACTATCTCCCTCTCTCTCGCTCTCTCTGTGGTCGAGTTATGTAAAAACCGTTACACTGAACAAACTTAACGCGGAGTCAACCCGAACGCGCTGATACCCTTTCGTTTCACTCACGCTGCCCACGCCCACGCAATTGAATTTTCGTTTATTTCGCTGTTGATTTATTTATAATTTTCCTATTTTCTTTTCTATTTTATTTTATGGATTTTGCAAAGTGAGCAACGACAGCAGCAGTTGGCAGCGTGCGTTGTGTCGTCCGGGCAGGAGCAAAGGTAACTTCTGTCTGGCGCTGCTCGCACGTAGCTGCTGCTATACCGTTATTTTCATTTCTTCTGCTGCTGCTGCTGCTGTCGCTGCTGCTGCTGCTGCTGCGGCTGTGGCTGTGTGTGTGTGTTTTTGTCGGTATTCAGGCTGGAATTCCAGCTCAGGTCTCTTTCGGAGCTTTCCACGGCGCAGGACATGACGCATGCGCCTGCCTGTGGCTGCCCACCAATTGGCTCGCTGGCTGAACCTCTCCTGCCTCGCTCACCAACCGCCCCACCTGCTCCCCTCCCACTGTCAAGCGCTAAGCGCCTTCACAGTTTTCCCATGCATATTACTTGCGGCTCGCTGGGCACATTTGAATAAAATTCTATTCGCGCCGCGTTCGTTCTTCGCTCTTTACCTTCAGCGTTGGCTCACCCACGCAAAAGAAAATCAATTTCTACCTGTCTAGGCAGCGCGCATTTTTCTTACTATTTTTTCACCTGCCTTGTCTCTTGTTGTTGTACTTTTGCTTTGTTTATTTCTGTTTGCACTTCATATAGCATACTTTTTGGGGCTTATATAAGGCACGCATTAGCTGCCCTCTCTCGCTCACTCTCCCTTTCTCTATCCATTTACATAATCGGTTAATTCGTAAGTAAACTCTTTTTCTGCATTTAGCCTCAGTTTCTATCAGTTTCATGTGCCGACTGCATTGCAGCTGCACTTGCTGCTGATTAGCATCGCCAACCAATTGTCTGCAGTTGTCTCCCTCTCTCTGTCCCTCTTTCTCCCTCCCTCCCTCCCTCTCTCTCCCTCTCTCTCTCTCTCGCTGGCAATTCCTTGTGACATTCATCATTTGTCAGTCGTTTTTTGTTGCAATTTATCAAGATTTAACTTATGCCCGCTCAAAGCTGAAGCCATTGTCCTTTGATTCGCCACTGAGAGCGAAGCCTCTGACAAGGGTTTGTCCTTGAAAACTATAATGAGAATTTGTTAGCCCAAGTGGGCTGTCGCATTATGCATTCAAATTGTGTTAACTACTCTGAACTTTTTCATCAAAATAAAGAGAACTCAGGAACTTGGTCTCTGAGTAAAAATTAACTGAGCCAAGTCCAGGCGAGATGAATAAATAGGTAAAACTTTCTTATACTGGGGAATAAATTCTTAAATGCATAGTTGAGATTGCTCAATTTAGAATGAGAATCAAGGAAAATGTGTCAAATGTGGGCTTGATTTAGTCAATCTAAACATAACTTGCCTTTGGCACCAAAAACTGAGTTTTATGCAAATTTGTTGAGCCACAAATGCCCTCCAGGGTATTCCTGCTGCCTTTTATGCAGACCTACACTCAAATTCATAAAGGGAAGGACATTTGGTTTAGCATTTTTTGACATTTTCAGTTCTATTTGACATCTAGCTCATCTAGATACGTTTTGAACTTTTTCAAATTGACTTTACTTGAGACCTATGATATATATTGATATATTATGATATATTATAAGCTAGTAAATTACAAGTGCTAATTATATTAAATATACATAGACAAACTTGCCAATGTTTATAAGTAAGTATATAAATTTTTACATATGTTATGGAAACTCAAGCTCAAGAATCTAAATATATATATGAAAATATATAATATGAATCGATCATCTGTTCAAGTTATATGTATATAATATGTGTGTTGTGTTTGAAATATATAATTTATATAATTTATCGATTATATGGAATGCATTGTGATACCATCATGGCTGACATTAAAACTGAGATATTCCCAAAAGTCAGTGCGATACACATCAACGCTGTCATCGATGTTCCACAACTTGTCAGGGCAACTCTTAGTGACGTCTCAATGGGTTGTCGAACTCAGTCAGAGAAGCCACAGAAGATTCCCGTTCTGCACAATGGCTCGTGGCTGTTCATTCAAGCAATTCACAAAAAAATGTCAAGCTTTTTTGCTGTGCTTCGTACCACGGAATCCGTTTGCTGCCAGATAATAGATGGATGATATACGATTCTTGCTTCTTCTCTTCTGCTGCCCCTGCTATCCACACAAACTTATTTATAACTTTAATATAACTTTTTGTTTACCTATGCCTCTGTTCATTGTGTAACGACACATTATGTCTATGCCAAACTTACGTATATACTGTATGATATACGTGCCTATCTCGCATACATATCATAGGCAAATAATTCATTAAGCTCTCGCTGTTTGTTTATAAACCACGCCATTCATTCAACTATGAATTGGATTCAGTTCGAGTAGAAGTCAAACCAAGGGTAAAGCGCGATATTAGGAATTTGTGTGGAATGCCTGCCTTATATTTCATAATGTTTACTTAGTATATTCACACACACACACTTGTACACTCCACTCACACACGTACGTAAACTTTGGAAAATGTAGAGCTCAGAACTACTTAAAGAGCTTAATTTGGCTGAGAGTTTTACGAAAGTGTACTTAAAACTGCAATTACATATATATATATATATATATATATATATATATATATATATATATTTAGAGAGATATGGGGAGAGAGAGAGAGAGGGAGTGAGAGAGATGCAATTTTATAAATTTGGCCACGTAAAGGCAATTACGTATTGCTGAAACGCAGTGAAAATGTGTGGAAAATGGTGGAAAAAACTGAAGCTTAAGGCCACAAAACACAGATCGATAAGGCCAGCAGCAGCAGCAACAGCAGCAGCTGAAGAAGCAGCAGTAGTAGTAGCAGCAGCAGAAGCAGAAGCAGGTGCAACCGTAAGGTAAATCAAGGTGTGCCACAGCAGGTGTGCGTGTGAGCCACGACTTAAGCATCAGCACATAGCACAACTAAATACATAACTGTATAAATATATATGCATGTATGTATTGAGGTAAAAATTATATAGCACAGACGTCGGCGCCGACGTCGACGTCGCCAGAGTCGGGCTAACGTACTTTGGCTTGTCGGAAAGTGGTTGAAAACAAGGTTATTTCTGCCAACGGCGAAGACATGTGCCGTGGGCGTGGGCGTGGGCGTGGGCGGGAGCGTGGATGTGGGTCGCCTGCAGCATTGCCAAAAGCAGCTGCAGAGAAATGAACACAAAACACGCAACTGAAGCTAGAGCAAAGGCAGATTTATAGAAAGCAGACGGAAGCAGAAAGCAGCTCCTTTAACTGCACACAATGGACTAAAGGCGAGCAGAGCTGCGGCCATTTAAGCTGCCAGCTAAATGCTTCGAAGGACAGCTACACTCAACAAAAGTGCGTGGTAAATGAAGTTTCTGAAATTGGAATCAGAGAAGGGAAAACTGAAATGAATGCTATCGAAGAAGTCCGACTATAAAGCAACCTAAAGAAGCTTCCCCTATCATATCATATATGCTTGATCTAAAAGATGAGCTCCACTAGAGCACAGTGACCACATCCCAGATGAGCGGCAGCCGAGGTGAGATGAGAATGTAGAGTCGGTGGGCATAAAACATTTGCTCATCTGCAGTCCGGCACATTCATCGTACTTACCTAAAAAGAAGAATCATATTCTTAATGATCATCACCTTAATGCCAGTTATAAAATTGACTAATCATGAACCATTCTAATGATTATTAACTTAATGATAATAATGCATAACAATCATTACTCTAATATAGAACAGAATTTTACCACTATAATTATTGTTAACAAATAATTCTTACAAAACAATATCCTTAACTCTTTTAATTAGACTTAATATACTTAATATTAATAGCTAATTTATTTACTATTATTTCCTATACTCACGCAGAAGAAGAAGAAGAGCAGCCAACAGGTCGCCAACAGGCCAGGAATGCAACTGAAGCAGGGCTGCTGCACACCTGCCTTTATATAGAGAGCAACAGCTCAAGCTCCAACTCAAACTCAGACTCCGACATCAGCAAGCAACCCGAACTCTTGAGCCTTTCTCTGGGCTAGACTTAACGCTCGATCAGCCGACGACATATTTGAGAGCTGCTCTACGAAGCTTCCTAGCTGAGCATCTTGAGCTCTTCTTCTGCCCATTCCACAGCTATGCCTATAGACTTAACGAATGATGCAGACAAACTATCGAAAAGAGACGCAGTTAAAGAGACAAACAGTCGGGCGATAGTTATGTTATTTGGACACACATATAGACATACATATACGTATATATCTGGCCTGCTGGACAGTGAGAAACCAATAGATAAAGAGATAAGACATAGACTGAGACAATTTTCGAGGCAGATAGGCAACAGTTAGACAGACAGTCAGATATATACAGACACAGTTAGAGAGATGATGAGAGAGATGTATGTTAACACGTAACATTTTCAACATTGGCTCTACATTCAGTGTAGAATCGCTGTAGATGAGGAGAGAATAGCATCGCTCTGCCTCGCACTCAAAAAGCTAATTCAATTCTAATTCGCAGCTAATTGTGGACCCAAAAAGGATTTTGTCGAGCAATTAGGTAAGTGCAAATGGGTCTTCGGGTTGACATTTGTGTCAGTTGTGAGCTAGCGACCTGCTGTAATTAATATTTTATTTTATGCATGACAAACAGAAATTTGAGTCAAGTCACCTTAAATTGGAGCCCTTTTCAAATGCCTTCAGTGTGAGACAATG